CGTATCACCCGTCCACAGCCAAGCGTAGGAATCTGGTTCGCGCTAATGGAACCCTACTAATGGACGAACTATAAATAATGATAATGTTTCAAAGAATTTCATGTCCGTTCCATTCTGTAAATTAGAAGAAAAAATAATAAGGAAAAAAGAAGCAAGGAAGTAAATGATCATAGCCTCGTAGGGTGTAATTTAGAATACGAGTTGTTTTATATTTTCGCAGAAAAATGAGTGTAAGTATGAAAAAATCGATTGGATATTGGAAATATCAGACACGCTGAAAAGAAAAGTAACAAAAAAATTAAAAGAAATCCACTAAAAACAAAATGACTTTAGGAACAGCTAACATAAACGATGTCTTATCAAAAAGTACCGGCAGTGGTGCTATAAAAAGAAAACTACAACACATATCAATTCAGCATTTAATCTCCTTTGAAGTAGTCCCCTTCTGGAGGCACACAATTTATCCAGCGTCTTTTGTATCGACAGAAGCATTCCTGGAACACCAATTTTGGGATAGCAAACAGCAACTTCGTCGCATTCTCTAGGTATTCCTCGACGTCTGGAAATCATGTTTCTTTCAAGTGGGAAATATCCAGAAAGAGGGAAAAGTCGCAAGAGGCGACATAAGGGGAATATGATAGCCGTTGAGCTTGAAGAATGTTGTCCTTGGCCAAGAGTTGCTACACAATCATGGTCACTGATGGAACATCCGTGGTGTGGTGAAATGACCACATTCTACACATTTTCCTTCCAAATATTGCTATAAACAATATAAGTAAATGGTATTATAACTTAGAGTGTATTCACGAACGAGTACAAGGTCAATATATGCCAAACAGCTTTACTTTGTGTATTAGCAACAGTTCCGATATTTTTTGATCAGACCCCGTATTTTTGGATGATATTTTGTTTATTGATCAGGACTAAAAAAAAAAAAAAAATTAAATAAAATCAACTGAACTACAAGAAATCCTTCTACTTACAATCAGAGATAATTGACATTTCTGAGACATATAAAGTTAAGGTGACACATAGTGAAGACATCGGCCCTGGAGAATTAAACACTCAGGGGACATTGTGAAGCAAAGACAAAAAAATGTGGAAACAGCTAGCAACCTACGTAAGTTTTATGAGAATAGATGGCAGAAAAGGGAAGAAAGGTATGGTAAAGTGTCAAAAGTTAACTAAAGCAGCTCAAGAATGGAAATTGGGGAGGGCTATGAACTCCAAAGTCTAGAAGGAACACGGCGCATGAAAGAAGAAGTTTAAAAAATGTATGCGAAAGGATTCGGGGAAAAAAAAAACGACGACGGAAACGCGGGTCGGAAAAGATGAGAAAATTATATAAAGAAAAATATAACGAGAGTTACATATGGTCTGCTGCTGCTGCTGCTGCTGCTGCTATATATCTTGAGACTCTTGACAATATCCAAAGAAGGATCTGTAAAGTTATTGATCTTGACCTGGCATATCAGCTTACGTCACTTTCCCACCGCCGTACCGAAGCTTCTAACGTCGTTTCTATGAATATTTTGCTGGGGATTTTCTGATGTTCTTTCTTACATTTTTTCCTTGAACGCATGAATTTAAGCGTAGTAATTTTTTTTCGTTTTTTTTTTTTTTTTTTTAAATCGAGTCCACCCCAAACAAGGCGTTAAAGCCACTAAGACAGAAATGATTAATGGGTGTGGAAGAATTAGAAAACAGAAACTCTACTAAGGAGCTAGAACTGTAGAAGTGTAGCAGGAACACAGTAGATAGCGATTGGCATTGTTTTTAAATTTTTGAAGATTAAAATTTACTGGAAAGTATGGAAACTGGATGAGACATCCACAAGCAAGATATGTGAGAAAGAAACCTTTAGTATAGAATCTACGGTTACATGAAGCCAATTTGTTTGTAAATTCATTAGATTGGCAACTAGGCTTCATAATTTTGCTGTTGAAATAGCGACATTCAGCCGTAAATTAGATTGTAACAGTTTGTTTAAACACTTCCCGCTTTTAGATCTCTCATCCCGTTTCTTGCTTTTCTGTCAAGTAGGACCTTCAAAAATTTAAGAGTAACGTTAATCACCCGTTTCTGCCTTACTGTTATACCAGAACATTACCTATTCTATTGTAATGGACTCTCCCACACATAATAAGTAGTAGTAGTAGTAGCAGTTGCCAGTTGAGCTCAGTGGAGTTGAGTGAGTCAGTCGATGTCGGACATTAAAGTATCAACCATCACAACTAGATTGCTGCATCATTAACTCTTATTTCAAGTTCCTAACTTTTTGTTACCAGAACATTACCTATTCTATTGTAATAGACTCTCCCACACATAATAAGTAGTAGTAGTAGTAGCAGTCGCCAGTTGAGCTCTGTGGAGTTGAGGAGTCCGTCGATGTCGGACATTAAAGAAACCATCACAACTAGATTGCTGCATCATTAACTCTTATTTCAAGTTCCTAACGTTTTGTTAAACATTACCTATTCTATTGTAATAGACTCTCCCACACATAACAAGTAGTAGTAGTAGTAGCGGTCGCCAGTTGAGCTCAGTGGAGTTGAGTGAGTCAGTTGATGTCGGACATTGAAGTATCAACCATCACAACTACATTGCTGCATCATTAACTTTTATTTCAAGTTCCTAACGTTTTGTACGGTGGACTCTTTTAGGACCGACTTAGCGAAATGCAAGCCTCCACTTTGAAAACTACTCTACAACACTTACTGAAACCAATTCTTTTATTGTCTCTTACCCTCAGTACCACCTTGCGTTTTAGTAGTCGGTTTTTATATATTCTTTATGCTTTCTTTTATTAATTCTATTTTCTTTCTTTTTCATCTAAAGAAATTCATTTTATAATTGGTGTGTTCCGTTCCTGTCTTGTTTCTACGGACATCTCTGTTGCTTATATCATGGGCAATGGGGACTATTGTCTTCATTCTTTGTTGCTATTATCAAATATTTCGGCCGTTCGGCTTGATTGGGATGAGACGATTAAAAAGAAAGAAAATCAGAATAAAGAAGAGAAGGAAAATGACGACGATAAAAAACGAACGATGTTAATAAAGAAGATGTCAAATAATGAATTAGTATTAGGTTGGTGCAAAAATAATGACGTAAGAATGTCGTTTTTTAACGTTAAAAAGTACGTCAAAAAGCGACATTATTACGTCATTATTTTTGCACCAACCTAATAATTTCTGTTTGAATTTTAAGTGGATGAGCAGTTATCATTATTCACATTATTTGCATGTGGACATTTATGCTCATCTGTGTTATTAGTATCACAGCGTTTAGGCCGTTCATCTCTCCGGCTATCATCAGGTGCTAGCTGATCCAGATTACCTTCAGGGAATCTTGAACTGAACTCTTTATTTAATTTGTGGTCAGGGCGAGGATAATCATCTGATCCTGTAGATTTAATAAAGTGTTCAATGAACATTACCTGAACTGATAAGCTCTTGATGAAAGCAGGAGGACACAACTCCAGAAATAAAGTGATAATAGCAACAAAAATGAAGATAATAGTCCACATGTACATAATATATTAGGTTGGTGCAAAAATAATTACGTAATAATGTCGTTTTTTGACCTTAAAATACGTCAAAAAACGACATTATTACGTCATTATTTTTGCACCAATCTAATAGATCGTAGTCCGTAGAAACAAGCCAGAGATGGAACACACACACACACACACACACACACACACACACACACACACACACACACACACACACACACACACACACACACACGAAAATAGATTTCTATAGAAAATATTCGCCATACAGGGATTCCTGGGTTTAATTCGTCGAGGTTACTGTTTCAGCAGACGGGGAAATTCAAAGAAAAAAAAAAAACTTGATGAATATCTCTCACTAGATTTATTGATTCGTTTTTTTTTACAGATTATCAACCCTTTGAAGATTATTTAAAGCAAGAAATTATTTTTATAGATTGTCAGATTTTAAATAATAATGATTTAGTGATACAATTCTTATTAATTACCGTATTTGATGGCATAATAATACGCACGGGTGTATAAGACGCACCCAAATTTTAGCAGGGCAAATCAAGAAAAAAATTGTAAATAGTAAAATTAGTAAAACACCATATGGCATATAAGACGCAGGGAAATTTTAAAAGATATTTTTAGTAAAAAAAAAAAAAAGTGCGCCTTTTATGCAGTCAAATACGGTAACCTATACCTGGGGGAGAAAAGGTGGATTCATACCTTTCCAGAAGGTATTTGCACGTAGGTGAATATAACGAACCCAACTAGAATTGGAACTCAGCTCTCCAATTAACAATTCCGAGCCATTATCCACCCGTACATGCAATCTTACAGCAGCTGCTATTCACAAGCGGGTAGCCATCTTGGTACTGACCAAGCTCGACGTTGCTTAACTTCGCTGATTCTCAAGAGAGAAATGAAGGAGTGGAAGTGTAAGGTGACAGTTGTGCCCATTAATATGAAACCACCTGGAACAGACGACCACATTACTATCCAGGTCATTGTGGCACCTCATAAACTGTAGCCGTGATAGCAATGGCTGTCTAGGACAAGCTAGTCCGACGGTGATGATTTCTCATATTTTGCATTCATGGTTTTACTAATTCTTGGCGGTTGTTCAAACAAGGGTTAATTAATCGAAAATTTGTGTCTATAATAATATCTATAGTAATTATAGAGAACAATACTTCGAGTAAGGCAAAGTGTATTGGTAATTCCTCATTTTTAGAATCAAATAAAACAGAGAAAAGAATAATTATCAGGTTTTCGAGACTGCTGTTTCAGCAGACGGGGTGAAAGTGAAAGAAAAAGAAAATTGATAAATTTACGAGAGATATGAAAAGAAAAACACGAAAGAGTAAGGCGAAATTATGTAGACACTCGATACTAAACCCCGTGAAGATATAAATTCGATTGCTATAGATGAGAAATGAACTGTCATGTAGTTATCAGGAACAGGAATGAAGAGGGTGGAATTATGGGAATAAAGTTAAGAAGAAAATATGGTAAGCATACAAAATGAATTCTGTGCCAAAGAAGAAAGTAAATTATTAGGAAAAGAAGAAGAAGAAGAAGAAGAAGAAGAAGAAATGCAATGAAAATAAAGATGAAAAAGAAGAAGAAAAATAGAAGAAAAATAGTGAGGAAGAAGAAGAAAAAAGAAAATAAATTTAAATAAAAGAAGGAAAAATGAGAAAAAGAGAAAAGAAAGTGAAATAAAGAAGAAGAAGAAGAAAAAGAAGAAGAAGAAGAAAAAGAAGAAAAAGGAGGAGGTAGAAGAAGAAGAAGAAGAAGAAGAAGAAGAAAAAGAAGAAAAAGGAGGAGGTAGAGAAGAAGAAGAAGAAGAAGAAGAAGAAGAAGAAGAAAAAGAAGTTGAAAAATAAAGGAAACTAATAGAAAAAATATCTTTTAAAAAGAAAAAAAATCTTTTTTGAGAAAAAAATCAAATAAAAATTAAACATTTCAAACGTTATGAAAACAAGGAAGGATTGAACTCGAAACTTCGAAATCGGACATGTTACAGGACAACGTGAAAGTAAAATAACCGTAAACTCTTAAAAATAACCGTACTCTGTTATCAACAACAATAAAATGTTTACCGATAATAGGAAAAAATAAAAAAAATAATAACGTAATTATGAAGCAAAACAACAACAGAAATATTAAATATATAAAATAATCTTAAATGAAAATATGTATAGAGAGAGCGTGTTCGGAACATTATTGAACACTTTTCTAATCATATTTTTTTATATTTCAGATTTCACCCCAGTATCGTTTTAATAACTAAAGAACTTCTCGTTGGATATGGATGTCGAGAAGGTTTATTACACGGATTTCGTGCGACAGCGTTTTGCTGATAAAATTTTTAGATAAATCTGTTCAACATCGCAATGCAGTTTGTAACCTTGTTGATAAATTTCGGGAAACAAGATGAGTGGACGATGCCAAACGTTGGGGAAGGTTAGTAAATCTATCAGAGCAGAAACTGTTCGATATTTTTGATAATATGCAGCAAAGTCCAAGACAATCATTAGGAAAGTTGGCACAGCATAAGATATTGGTCTTGGAACTGCTGATAAGGCTGTCAAACAAAAATTAAAACTCTTACCATGCCATATAATGATGGCGGTACAAGAATTGAAAGCAACTGATCAGGAAAAACGATTTAGCTTTTTTTTTCAATAGTTTAATCCATTTATCGAAGAGAATAACTGCTAATACGTTGGATTGATAATTTTTTTTTTTACTGACGTTGTTCCATTTCTCTGGTTATGTTAATTCGCAAAACACAAGTTTGTGGTTCTCCAGTAATCCTCACGCTTTCCATGTAACACATCTACATGATCCCCTGTTTGAGGAGAGTGTGTTGCGATTTCCAGTGGTCGAAATTTTGGTCCTACTTACTTTATAAACAAAATAAACAGAGAGTCCCATTGATGGGAGATTCTTCCCATCTTCATCGGTCAGATGAAAGAGTGAGGAAATCATTTACTTTCAAAAGGACGGTGCTACTGTCCACACGTCTCACAAATCTATGCAAGTATTGGGGAAAGATTTTGCAAACGGCATTATTTCCAAAGACGTGTGCTTTCCCCAACCTCGCCGCTGCACGCTGGATCTAAATCCACCAGACGTTTATCCATGGCGAGCAGCAAAATCTGTAGTGTGTCGAGATAGACAGCGTACACTGGATGTCTTGAAAATAGTGATAACAGGTATCGTTCAGCCTAGTTCAAGCTAGCAACTGATAGCAGTATTCAAAAACAGAATAAGAAAGATACAAGACTGTATTGATGCTAACGGATGTCACTTTCAGCAATGTTTATAATTTTCTATTCTATATATACATATAGTTAGTTCATGCAAATTTAGGTAATCCGTATGGGTAGACCTGAGGAGGATGATATCCAGAGAGCTCAATGTAAAATTCAGAGCAGATATGTTTGAATAAAAAACAGACCACGTTAAGATTCCATGTAATAAGCTATTTCACCATAACCCCTTTAACAGGGTTCTGGATCATCAGACTTTACTTCCAAAAGCTGAAATGAAAAATGAAAAGAAATTCACACGTTTTTGACGGACCTCATCAAGTATACACAAAGTTAACGAAGTGAGGAAGTGAGGTGGGAGAGAGGATATGAGTGTGTCATATGTATCATTTTAGTTTCTTATTTTAACCCCTATTTTAAATTTGAACAACATCCAGTCGACACACTGATCCACAGAGAGCTCGATGTTTTCATTTTAACAGAGCATAAAATAAAATTACCTCAACATTTAAAACAATGCTCCGAGACACAGACACCTAAGGACAGATGATAGCCACACGACTTGAAATAGACTATATATATATATATATATATATATATATATATATATATATATATATATATATATATATAAAAATGTAATTTTAACGTATGCAATATTTGGAGACGGTCTGTTTAAAAATGGTCTGTAGATTGTTTTGAAGGATGAAACAGACTTAAGAAAAAACTCTAGTTTACGTAAGACTTTCGGTTAAACAAAGCTCAAAATTGTGCTTTTGGACTGACATTCACTGCTGATTCTCGAAACATCCATATATGATTTGTGCTTTTCCGTAACGTAAACACAGACATAGAGGGCTCAATACCGAGAGTAGAACAATAATTATTTATTATAATTTTCCCATAGAGACAAGAACAATTTAGACACTGCATAAATGCAACCTCGTTTTGGTGCATTTTGTTGCATTTCAACTGGTGAGAACCAAAATGGTTATGAACAATTTTGTTTGTAAGCTGGCCGCATGTGGAACATCACTTCCTTTTTATTCTATTTGTTTGAAAAAAAAATAGGTACATTTTAAGAGGGAATTAATAAGAATAAAGAACTCTCACCAGTCGACGTGCATATAAATGCACCAAAACGAAGTTGTATCTATTTCGTGAGTAAATTGCCTTCTGTCCTTATTGAAAAAAAGTAACATATATATATATATATATATATATATTTGTTGTGTAGATATACAGATATATATATATATATATATATATATATATATATATTTGTGTGTAGATATATATATATATATATATATATATATATATATATATATATATATATATATATATTTGTGTGTAAGCAAATATATGGATATAGACCCGACAGTATGAAGAAAAATATATACGGAAAAAACAAGCAAAAATCCTTATATGCAATTATGCTGTTTTAATGTTAATATGTCAACGTCGGACGTTTCGGTCTAATAAACCATCTTCCGGACATATTCATAAAATATAATTAGCATTATCAATTCAACATGACAAAGACGATGGACATAAGAACAAGTCTTATCCAAAATGTTAAATGAAAGTTTTATAAGATCAGATATATATATATATATATATATATATATATATATATATATATATATATATATATATATATATATATATGTATGTATGTATGTATGTATGTATGTATTGATGGGCGTTCTTAAATTCGAACATTTTGTAGTACTAAGAACATTTTTGTTTTAGTTCATCAATACGTTTTGCAAAATGAAATCCTTATATTTGCTTTGATAAAGACAATCAGAGGACAAAACGCGTTGGCTAAAATACCTTTTCTTTGGTCTTTATTCATATTTTCCTTTTACAAATATATTTTTATTTATATTTCTGAAATTTTGCACACACAAAATATATATATATATATATATATATATATATATATATATATATATAGTGTTTTGGGAGAGTACATCATTATTCAAACATAACGAATGTCTGTTCTAAACTTCGAAAAAAATATGTCTAACATTTGGATATTTTTATTATGCTGTTCCTCGATCTAAGCATTCGGCTCACATATAACCACATTGATAATTGCTATTGGGAGCCAAAAACTTAGATGGAGGAAGAGCATAATAAAAAATATCTAAATGTTGGACAAATTTTGTCTTTATTTTCTCCCGAAATTAAAGTAACTATACGGAATTTAGAACGGTTCATGATCAAAGAGAATTGACATTCGGTGTTTGTTATATTTAACAATATATATATATATATATATATATATATATATATATATATATATATATATATATATATATAATGTGGACATTGAAATAAATACCCAGTGGTGACAGTCTGTTTTATGCTTAAACGCCATTGTTTAAACATGAAAAACACTGTCGCCGCTGGATGTTGACCTCAATGTTCATTTTTATATTTACATCCGCCCTATACCTGATATAAATCACTTTAACCCATGAATATGGCATACCTTAAACTATATATTTATCATATATATATTAATCATTTCACCCCAAGCAAGGCAACAAACCACTAAGATGCAGGGTGTTACTGAGTGTAAAAAAAAATAAAAGAAAAAGTTCATTAGAGAGCGAAAACATTAAAAGATCAGGAATTAAAATGGAAGAGAATGACTAACATTGTATTCATATATATATATATATAGTGTGTTGGGAGAGTACATCATTATTCAAACATAACGAATGTCTGTTCTAAACTTATAGTTGTTTTCATTTTGGAAGAAAATAAAGAAAACAATATGTCTAAGATTTGGATATTTTTATTATGCTGTCCCTCGATCTAAGCATTCGGCTTTTATAGTATAAAAGGGTTTTGTGGGGTATTCTGGAAGAAAATACTGTTAACGTCCGTTGATTTGTGTATGACTGAGTATTTTTATTTTACTTTTAAAATAGTTTTTGGTTGTCCATCCGATATTCTTGGTTATCATACGTTTCTGTCGTACTGTTCATCGAAATTCTTGAAATGAATTTGGTTTTTGTTGGGTCACATCATTATTAATCCTTTGCGGGCATTGCATTTAGGACTTGATGGTTAGCAATATTATTCGCTACTCTCAGGATACAATAAAATTGTTGAAACTCAATCTATTTAAATCCGACACAAGTACGTAATTAGGATTAAAACATTAAAAAACAAAAAAAAATACATAGAAATTACATCAGCCTAAATTCACCTGAAAAATATCAGATGGATTAATATCATGTAAAGTTGATTAAAAAAGAAAAAAAGAAACGACAATGAAGGAAAGGAACTTAATGTCGTTTTCCTGAATCAGAAAAAAAAACGAAATCTCTAAAAAATACTTTCACATGACATTCTTCTTTAAAGTTGAAGTATCCTTTCGGCATGTAGGCGACCATGGCTCTTCACAGCCTCCTATCAGTTGTAGCTCTTAGAAAAGTTTGTCCCTTTGAAAAACCCCTGCCTCTCGTTCTACCATCTATTCACACATGGTCGCCAGGTTGGCAGCCCTTTGCAAACCTCCTGTCTCTCGTTCTACCATCTATTCACACATGGTCGTCAGGTTGGTAGCCCTTTGCAAACCCCCTGCCTCTCGTTCTACCATCTATTCACACATGGTCGCCAGGTTGAAACCTCTTTGCAAACCCCCTGCCTCTCGATCTACCATCTATTCACACATAGTGACCAGGTTGGTAGCACTTTGCAAACCCCCTGCCTCTGGTTCTACCATCTATTCACACATGGTCGCCAGGTTGGCAGCCCTTTGCAAACCCCCTGCCTCTGGTTCAACCATCTATTCACACATAGTGACCAGGTTGGTAGCCCTTTGCAAACCCCCTGCCTCTGGTTCTACCATCTATTCACACATAGTCACCAGGTTGGTAGCCCTTTGCAAACCCCCCTGCCTCTCGATCTGCCATCTATTCACACATGGTCGCCAGGTTGGCAGCCCTTTGCAAACCCACCTGCCTCTCGATCTGCCATCTATTCACACATGGCCGCAAGGTTGGTAGCTCTTTGCAAACCCCCTGTCTCTCGATATACCATCTATTCACACATAGTGACCAGGTTGGTAACCCTTTTCAAACCCCCTGCCTCTCGATCTGCCATCTATTCACACATGGTCGACAGGTTGGTAGCCCTTTGCAAACCCCCTGCCTCTCGTTCTACCATCTATTCACACATAGTTACCAAGGTTGGTAGCTCTTTGCAAACCCCTGTCTCTCGATCTGCCATCTATTCACACATAGTCACAAGGTTGGTAGCTCCTTGCAAACCCCTGCCTCTGGTTCTGCCATCTATTTACACATAGGTCACCAGGTTGGTAATCCTTTGCAAACCCCTGCCTCTCGATCTGACATCTATTCACACATAGTCACCAGGTTGGTAGCCCTTTGCAAACCCCCTGCCTCTCGATCTGCCATCTATTCACACATGGTCACCAGGTTGGTAGCTCTTTGAAAACCCCCAGCCTCTCGATCTACCATCTATTCACACATGGTCACCAGGTTGGTAGCCCTTTGCAAAGACCCTGCCTATCGATCTGCCATCTATTCACACATGGTCACATGGTTGGCAGCCCTTTGCAAACCCCTGCCTCTCGATCTGCCATCTATTCACACATTGTCACCAGGTTGGTAGCTCTTTGCAAACCCCTGCCCCTCATTCTACCATCTATTCACACATTGTCGCCAGGTTGGTAGCCCTTTGCAAAGACCCTGCCTCTCGATCTGCCATCTATTCACACATAGTCACAAGGTTGGTAGCTTTTTGCAAACCCCCCTGCCTCTCGATCTGCCATCTATTCACACATGGTCGCCAGGTTGGTAGCTCTTTGCAAACCCCCTGCCTCTCGTTCTACCATCTATTCACACATAGTCACCAGGTTGGTAGCCCTTTGCAAACCCCACTGCCTCTCGATCTGCCATTTATTCACATGGTCGCCAGGTTGGCAGCCCTTGCAAACCCCTGCCACTCGATCTACCATCTATTCACACATAGTCGCCAGGTTGGTAACCCTTTTCAAACCCCTGCCTCGATATACCATCTATTCACACATAGTCACCAGGTTGGTAGCTCCTTGTAAACCCCCTGCCTCTGGTTCTACCATCTATTTACACATAGTCACCAGGTTGGTAATCTTTTGCAAACCCCCTGCCTCTCGATCTGCCATCTATTCACACATGGTCGCCAGGTTGGTAGCCCTTTGCAAACCCCCTGCCTCTCGATCTGCCATCTATTCACACATGGTCGCCAGGTTGGCAGCCCTTTGCAAACCCCCTGCCTCTCGATCTGCCATCTATTCACACATAGTCACCAGGTTGGTAGCCTTTGCAAACCCCCTGCCTCTCGATCTGCCATCTACTCACACATGGTGACCAGGTTGGTAACCTTTTCAAACCCCCTGCCTCTCGTTCTACCATCTATTCACACATTGACCAGGTTGGTAGCCCTTTGCAAACCCCCCTGCCCTCATTCTACCATCTATTCACATTGCCGCCAGGTTGGTAGCCCTTTGCAAAGCCCTGCCTCTCGATCTGCCATCTATTCACACATAGTCACCAGGTTGGTAGCTCCTTGCAAACCCCTGCCTCTCGTTCTGCCATCTATTTACATGGTCACCAGGTTGGTAATCTTTTTGCAAACCCCTGCCTCTCGTTCTGCCATCTATTCACACATAGTCACAAGGTTGGTAGCCCTTTGCAAACCCCCTGCCTCTCGATCTGCCATCTATTCACACATGGTCACCAGGTTGGTAGCTCTTTGAAAACATCCAGTCTCTCGATCTACCATCTATTCACACATAGTCACCAGGTTGGTAGCTCTTTGCAAACCCCCTGCCTATCGATCTGCCATCTATTCACACATGGTCGCAAGGTTGGCAGCCCTTTGCAAACCCCCTGCCTCTCGTTCTACCATCTATTCACACATTGTCACCCGGTTGGTAGCTCTTTGCAAACCCCTGCCCCTCATTCTACCATCTATTCACACATTGTCGCCAGGTTGGTAGCTCTTTGCAAACCCCCTGCCTCTCGATCTACCATCTATTCACACATAGTCACCAGGTTGGTAGCCCTTTGAAAAACCCCTTCCTCTCGTTCTACCATCTATTCACTCATGGTCGCCAGGTTGGTAGCCCTTTGAAAAACCCCTTCCTCTCGTTCTACCATCTATTCACACATGGTCACCAGGTTGGTAGCCCTTTGCCACTCCATGTTTTTCCTGACTTCGACTGTGAAATTCTCTAAGTCCTACTTCCTCATGCACCCAAGAAATATCAGCTGTCTTTAATTTTTTCTGTTCATGAACATTGTAGGTATATACTTTGACTAGGAGACCTGATGGGAATTAAACTCATTTCATTGCCAATACTTTGATTGATGACCAAACAACGGTAATTACTCTATAAAACGTAGCTGTTTATACTCCTCACAACTAAATTTGATCTGCGAAATTCCGACGAAAAAACTCTTGTGTTTAATGTATACTGATTAATCATACGAAGCTTAAGTTTTTTTAAATTTTAATATATTTTATAACGACATTTTTTGCATAGTTTTCTATAGTGTCTTTAGATAGCGTTTTTAGATAGTGTTTTTAGATAGTTCGTATCCACTAAGTATTGGTGTAGCTTCCGTTAAGCATTTTTCTTTTTTCCGGTGTACCTTCAGATTTTCGTCATATATTCTAACATTTATGATAGTTTCCAGATAGGGGACGCATAAGGAAGAAAGATGGCTTGGAGAATTTGTCACTCACAAGGTATATTGAAGAGAAAAAGGATAGAGGGAAATATTGAGTAACGTAACTCACAAGCTTGATGACGGAACAGAGACTGGAAATTGTAGTAACAAGTAAACATTACTTAGATCTACAAAGAACAGAAACTTGTGGAGAGCTATGGCTACCTACGTCTTGAAGGGACACGGTATAGAAAGGAAATCGAATAAAATAAATAAAAAATAATTTTTTGTCTAATTTTAATTGACATTTTTTCCCAGAAGAACTAACTAATTTTACATGGAATAATACAACACAAAATTAACAAAATATTGAAACTCAACTTTACATTAGTTTGGTATATTCTTGGGATTCCTTGGGTTGACTAAATCGCAGTCGGGCAGAGTCTCTGGATTCAATCTTTAATTTGGATCCCCCGTCTTCCGGTAAACCATCGTCCGTTTAAAATCAATGAAAAAAAATGCTCCATGACGAACGTACTGGAGAGCAGGAGGGATTTTAATTTTTGCCGAAGGATCACAAGATGACACTGTGAGCGACGATGACATGGAAGATGAAGTTATTTACTTCGCTGACATAGGTAAAACTGTTAGGATGTTTTGACACGGAAAACTGGAGGTTACTAAAATGTATTTCGTCTCACTGTGAATTGTTTTTTTTATTTAAATATAGTGTTGGCTTAGTGATCTAAATTTATTACACATTACCTCAATAAAGCAGCGGAGACTTGAAGCAACATAAAAATGGCTCTACACAAAGATGCTCAGAATGGGCTGAGCATTAGAGTAACAAGGAAGTTACAAGTAGAACTGAAACAAAAAAAAACTTCTTGTACTTTGAATCAGAATTTATATAAAAGCCTTTTTTGTCTATTTTAAATAATAATTATTTTGAGTTAATATACTATTCGGTCTAATAAAACTGTGAATTTTTGAATGTGGGCCTTACACTGATAAATTTGCCAAGCCCTGGTTTAATCAATCCATTCCATTTATATTTATTAGACGTTCAATTGTATATATGAATAATTGATTACTCCAGGTATTTCATAAATCACTTTTTGCTAAATATCTTTTCATGTTAAAAAATGTATGTGTTTAATACGTGAAAGTGGAAATATCCCTCGAAAGAAAAAGATTAGCAACAGAACGACACCCCCCCAAAAAAACCGCGTATTTTAAGATGAATTAGAAGTAAGAGGATCGCTTAATAGATAAAGGTATCTGAGTACCACATGTGAAACGCTTGAACAATTAAGACTGCAATCTAAGAAACGTAGGATTAAAGGAGCTGATTTAATTCAACGGTTCATTTCGCGCTGATCTAATACTGTCTAAATGCAGATAAATATTTTATTTGTATAGGTTATTAAAACATCTATTGGAAGTGATCACTCATAAATTTAACAACTTAAGTTGAGTTACCTCCCTTCCCACTGTTGATGGGACAGAAAATATTTAGATAAATAGACACCGATAATTATTATATGCTTTGATTGTTGAACTTTTGTGGGTCGATACATTACTATGATACTGTCTACATCGGCACCCGCTCACCTCAGTACATCGGGATCTTCACACTTTCTCGCTATTCACGTTCTTTTCCCTGGTGGTGGAGATGGCATTGAATCAAAGAGAGATTTTTATTTAAAATTTTTTAAAAATAGTGCTCGATACAATCAGTAGAGTAAAATATTATAATTATTTTCTTTTTAAAAATATGATTCCCTTTTTAAAATTATTTTCTAATTTATAAACAGTTTATAAATTTAGTTTCAGTTTTGAAACATGGAATTTTTCTGTGTCGCGATGGAATCATACCTTTTTAAAAGAAAATAATTATAATACTATAGAACTGTATCACATATCATATTTTGAAAGAAGGTCCTGAAAATGTATGCATTCATATTTATATCGCTCTTGTAGGTACATATTAAACTTAGTCTAGCAAATGTTATCAACTAATGATAGTTAAGTAAGGATTGAACACACAAGAGAATTAATAGCGAAATAATATCATCGACTTGTACATGGCGCGACACTTCACTTAGTATGTTTATTTTAAAAGCAACATGTATGATACACCGCTCGTAGATTGAAGTAGTAGTAGTAGTAGTTACAGTGAATCGAGGCTTTAGTCTCAAATATAAATCATATACATCTACTTTTTTCAATCCAATATAAACTCAAGGGCGCATGGCACAGTGGATAAAGGCGTTAGATCCAGTTCAATACCTGGTTAAGGTGGTGAAGAACTTGGAGAGGTGAATTAACAAGAGCTAACTGATAACTGACACCCATTAGACATGGCACGTGGAACTAGAACAGTCTACCCCGGTGAGTGAAATAAAGGGTTCAGTTCAACATTCCTACCACCTGAAGAAGGCCGGAGCGTACAACGGCCGAAATGTTGTGATAAATATGACAAAAAAGATGAGGAAAATTGTCCGAATAATGTAAATAGTGTACATAATACCTCATCTCAGAAATATAAACAGATACTGAAGATAGTTACAAACGAGCCGAAACGTTGTGATAAATATGGCAACAAAGATGGGGACAATAGTCCGAATAATGTAAATAGTGTGGATAATACCTTCTCTCAGAAATATAGATAGATAGCAATATAAACTGCAGTCATATCTACCTTTTGACTCAAATATAAACCAAATCTGTGTGGACCTTTTAGCTCGAGTGATTCATTTGTTTCTTACGAGTTTGTGAGTTGTTTATAGCCGAAATCTCTTTTGGATCGTGAGTATAACTTCTTTTTTTTTTTCATTTTTTTTTTTGCTAGTGAATATTTCATTAATTTTTTTTTCCCAGATACAAGTCCTACTACATAACCCACAGCTGGAAGGAGAATAAATGAATCCATAGCTTTCCAAAATGATAGTAACGAGCACGACTGTAATTCGAACTCGGTTCTTAGATTTCTCATTTGGAGCTGTTGTCCATTACACCACCAGCACACCCACCGTTTGCTTCAAGCATAAACCAGAACTATGTTTATTTTTTAACCAAAGTCTACCTTTTAGCACAAATATAAATCAGGCGTATGACTATCGTCTCACTCTAGCATAAAACAGATGGCTGTCTACCTGACTCAAACCTAAAGTGAACCACTGTGCAAATTTTACACAAGTATAGAACATACCTTTTGACTCTGGCATTAGATCAGATGTATTCTTACTTTTTCACTGAAGTAGAAAACAAATCTATGTATATCCTTTATTTTAAGTATAAACCAGATCTATGTTTAATTTTCGTCTCAAACATAAAATAAGAGCATATCTACCCTGGGGTCATATATAAGCCAGACGTGTGTCGACTCTTTGACTCAAGCATAAATAACATACGTCTACCTTCTGTGTTAAATGTTAGGAAAAGCCAATTCTGAATGGGAACTGTTATTCAAACGCAATACGGACTTCTGTCTATTTTTTCGCTTATGGGCGAACAAAAACTCTGTGACCTTTTGGCTCAAGTATAAAACTGAACTATGTCTCTCTTTTGATCCATGTGGAAAAAAAAAGAACCTATAGGCATCTTACTGGCAACGAAGTCTTATAGATAGATAGGTGAGTTGGTTAGATGTAACCCGACGCTCTATGCTAACAGTTTCGCCGCACTTCTCG